GAAACATTGGCTAATGTTCTACTGGACTTTTGTGCACATCCATCTGAGTCAGTCATTCTTGGTGATTTCAATATAGACGTGATTTCTCCTCTAAAGACTACACAAGATGAGCGTTTCCTTGGTGCTCTCCTTGGCAGTGACCTTATTCAGAATGTATCCATTCCAACTAGAGGTAGAAGTGCCATTGATCTAGTGTTTTCTACTCCTAATACTGTCATGAATTTACAGCTCCTTCCTCCGTTCGGTACATCCGATCACAATGTAATAGCTTTTGATACAAACTTCTCATCTGTGAAAAACTACTTCCTGCCATTTCCCAATTTCTATAAAGCCGATTATACAGAGATAAACAAGGCACTTCAGCGTCTTAGTTGGATGGATATTTTTGCTGGGTTTGAATCAGTCGATGATCTATATTATCGTTTCTGTTTGATCATTTACAGTGTACTTGCTAAATTTGTTCCTTTTACTTTCAAAAAAACTGTATTACATGCTTACCCTCAACACATTCAAAACTTGATTGAGCAAAAAATACGTCTTTTCTCTATCCTCCCTGATCCTATTACAAATCATCTGTACCAGAAGGTTTGTAAAGATTTGGAATATCATCTGAAAAAGTTTTTGAAAGTAATGAGCTTCGTCTGGCAAGCCGGGGCAACAAAGAAGTGTTTCGATATCTCAGATACAGAACCAAAGGTAATACCAAACTACCGACTTTGGTGGATGAATATGGGATGTCTTTCAGGAACGACAAAGAGAAGGCAAATGCTCTGGGAAGATATTTTGCTAAGGTGTTTGACAATGACAATTTTGAAAACCAGGATCTATCGAATCTGTCTCCAAAAGTCACCTTTGTTGCTACAGCATGTGATGAGATACAAGTCAATCCTGATACAGTATATGAAGTTTTAAGGAGACTGAAAGCTGTTGCAACATCCACATATGATGGAATTCCTCAGATTGTTTATAGAAACTGTGCACGAACACTGTCCTTTCCCCTTTCGTTGATATTCTCAATGTCTCTACAATTTGCCAAGGTGCCAAAAATATGGAAAGAAGCTCTTGTTACTGCTATCCCGAAAAAAGGGCAACAGAACACCTTATCAAACTATCGGCCCATAAGCATAATGCCTCCTGCGGGGAAAATCCTCGAAAAAATAATACGAGCTAAGCTTTATGACTGGTTTGATAAAAATAATATCCTTCCTCCTGAACAACACGGGTTTTTACCGGGCTGTTCCACCACAACCCTACTGGTTGATTCTACTTTTGATTGGATAACTGCTTTAAATAACGGACAATCGGTAGATATCATATACTTTGACTTCTCAAAAGCTTTTGATAAGGTAAATCATAGCAAACTCCTACACAAGCTAGAAAACTACGGCATAAGAGGGACTCTCCTGTCTTGGTTAGCATCTTACTTACATGATAGGGGAATTACTGTTCGTGTTGGAGAAGACTTTTCAGATCGTTATCATTGTAGTAGTGGAGTACCCCAGGGTGGCATTCTCTCACCGTTGCTTTTCCTTATTTACATCGCGGAATTGCCTAACTATCTGAAAACCCATCCGAATCTGAAAATTCAGATGTTTGCAGACGACATTAAAATATATTTTTGCTACGACCTCAATCAACAGAGTGAAGCATTCACGGCGGTCTCTTCATCCATAAAAAGGATGGAGATATGTTCTAGAGAATGGGGTATTCCTGTAAATACCTCCAAGACTATGGTAATGCACCTTGGGAATTCCCAGTGTTGTACGTACAACTACAATGGTATCAATCTGGAAATCTCTAATTCAGTTCGCGATCTTGGTGTTATGATAGAGAATTCTCTTACTTTTGATACTCATGTAAATACTGTCATAAAAAGGTCGTCTTCAACGCTTTTTACAATTTTTAGAAATATACATAGTAATGATCCGGAAATTTTCTTGCGATTGTACAAAAGTTACGTGTTACCTCATCTTGAGTATGCATCGCCCATTTGGAGTCCATTTTTGAAAAGAAATATTGATAAAGTTGAAAAAATTCAAAAGACTTTCACGAGGATTCTTTTTTATCGATGCTTTCCCAATCCAGGATATCCTCATGCCTTACCCTCCTATCGTACCCGTCTCGATATGTTACACCTCCATAGTCTGAAGTATAGGCGTGTTGTTAACGAACTTGTACTATGCTTTCGGATTCTGAATTTGGAAACTAACCTAAAAGCCAGTAAATACTGGGTTTTTAGACCGTGTAGTGACCGGACAGGTAGGTTTGGTTTGCAATATCGCAAAATAGGAAGAAAACATCTTTCGATGACTTTCAATTCCTTTTGCTATCGAACATCAAGATGGTTTTCTGCATTACCAAATCATATCATATCCAGTAAAAACTCCAAAATTTTTCGTAAAAAATTGTTAGATGTGAATGTGCTTCAGCTTCTTGATATTTCTGATTTTTAGATGAGTCTTGTTCAGATGTGGTGCTTGTGTTCTTCGTACTGCCTCAGTTCGTCCTTCTATCGTTTGACGTCCTTCTATGCTTTCTGCTTTCTGGTTCGCTTCGTTTGGATAGTCCACAACAAGGATAGGATAGAGAATGACTGCTATTTGCATTGTTTGTGTGTTACTAACCATAGTGCTCCCACTAATGAGATCAACCAGTCTCACTCACAGCATATCCCTCACCGTAGCCCAGTCCCACCCCCACCTCTGTCGGATATCAGTCGCGCATAGTTGTTAGACGTTCATCCCTACAACTCCCAGTGAATCTTGCTCTCTTCTAAAGCAACTATTCAGCCGGGGTTACGTCAGCTAGCTTTTACCGGGGGGTCGCTGACACCCAAAAACAGGGTCTTCATTAACTTTAGAAGAAGCAAGATTCTACAGATTGTCTGGACATAGCGCTTTTTCCTTTGGTATGCTGCAATTAATGCAATTAATGGCTACATCGTCATTATCGAGCTTCGGTAATTGTCTTGTTTAGTTTTGTTTCCCATTTATATCTCTTCTTGCTTCTGTGACTGAGGATTGGCTGGTTTCTTGTCTTAATTCTGTGTTACCTTGATTTCCTGTTCGATTTTGATTTTTAATGGTGCACCGCGAGTGTATGCATAAAATAAAATAAAATAAAAATAAAATAATAAAGGGCACAAAATGCTGATTTCAAGTCTGCCTTCCTTTTCTCAGAGCGTTTATGGACGAGGAGAAATGTACGCTTATTAGAGCAAAAAAATTGAATATGCAAGTATAGTCGTCCTCACCCCACTAGTCGGTCGGTGGTCGAATTTGAATTCGAACTGGAGCAGGCTGACCGCGGCAGAGCGCGGCAGACGCCGCCCCTCAGCCAACCACTTGTACGAGCTTTTTTCTTATTTTCTTCGTGTTTCATTGCTATCTCTCGTATTACGGCAATGTTCTTACTCAGACTTACAAATTTCTTACCGCTAACTCTTTAAAACAAACACTATTTGAGAGAATTTCAGCCTTACCGCAAAAAATAGTCTATAGTACATATTCAAACAAAAAAATTGACACATTTCATCAAAGCACATTTATGTATATGTCACTTACCGGAAAAAAGACACCTCTCATCCAAAAATCTCCAATTGCTTCTTTTTCCCGGTTTACATGAAAAAATGTAAAACAAACGAGCACAACTACACAAAACAATAGTTAGCGGTGCGAAATCTCAAAATCTGATAAGGAACATTGCCGCAATAGGAAAGATAGCAAAGAAACACAAAGAAAATGAGAGAAAAGCCCATGTGCAAGTGGTTGGCTGAGGGGCGGTCTGCCGCGCTCTGCCGCGGCCGATCTGCTCCAGTTCGAATTCAAATTCGACCACCGACCGAATAGTGGGATGAGGACGACTATAGGACAAAAATAGTCGTAATTCCTTCTCTAGCTCTTCAATGAAGCAGTGAAAATCATCAGAGCACTTTATTCAAAAAATACTCTACAGTAAATAATATATCACACTTAGTCGCATTATTTGAGGGCTAGTAAGATTTTAGCAACTCATTTTATTCTAATGCACGTTCAATTTTAACCCCAAAAATGCTCATAGCTCCGTGTCCATAAACGCTCTGCAGTAAGGAAGGCAGAAATCAGGAATCAGGGGATATTGCTTTCCAAGGTACACATCTCATTTAGGAAGGCCACTTCGACTAAACAATCTTCCCTTGTTAGTGTAACCTCCAAGGTCCCGCTTACAGATAAAAATCCAAAAAATATATATTCCCATTATTTGCGAGTTGTTTGAGGAGGCAAAGACAGTACTTTTTCCGTCTATCGTTCATTTTGAGTCATGAATTTCTTAGTTTCTTCTTTCCAGAAGGACTTCCAACCTTTGTGACGTGTTTTGCACATGCCTCTGTTTTTTCCTCCTCTGGTTAGCCGCTATGTTCGCAAACTTGTAATTCAAGAAACTACCATTTAACAATTTGTTTTCAACATACGCATTTATCGTATTACAAAAGGTACTGTCGGATGTTAGAGGCTACTTGGTAGGCAGTGCAAACTGAGTCGAATACTACTGAGTAGAGTCGAAACAATGAAATGCTGATCTTCGTATATTGAATTCTCTCTGAAAAACTCGAGGTTCTTTTTTGCATCATTTTACACGTTTGGTGAGATGGACAGGGTACCGAGTGTGCATCATCTTTAGTCGGAAGTCCTTAGCGTTCGTAATTCTCTGAACAATGGATTTTTTAGAAGCTTTGCTTATCAAAAAGATAGAGACCCTTTTTTGTGTATGTGAATGTCATCTACAAGTCGTCATTCAACCAGCGACTTTTGCGTAAAAGCTGCGAGGAACACAAGATGTTATGTTTGAAGTGTGGTAACGGACCAACAGATCCGATTCTCATCTAACAAATACACATATATTCATTAAAACATTTATTGCTGTTTAACATTGCGTTAGAATATCAACGCAATGCGCTCCAGACCTTGTTTAGACTGAAATTCTTCCATTCAAAGAAATTTAGCAATATGAAGAGGTACTAATTACGTACCAGTGCGGTATTCCAGCTCGAGTTCAGTTGCTCCTTTGCGATTATAAATTATGACGGGTACTATCTCGTTGGACGAGGTAATGGTCTTTCCGACATTTTCTTCGGCACAGAATCTGAATTACATTGATTGAATTGAGACTACCTCGACAAGCATTTTATTGATGAGCAGACCTATAGCCACTCATGAGCTGATCTTTTTGTGCTTTAATCTCAACTCCTCCAGTGCTACAACCGGAACTAACAATTACGTAGTAAGAGGTAGCTTTCGGCGAAACACTATATTTCACTTCAAGTTGCTTGATTGTCATCTTGATCGTTTTCCTCCCGCGATTCTTTAATAAAAAGTCCACAATTTTGATTATGACTGAATTTCGACTAGCTTCGAATCTGGATCCAGTAGTAGCATTCTTCAAAGTCATCCTTTTCTTTTGAGTTCAACATATCTCCCACTGTATAAGAGATAGTGTTTGCTTTGGGCGAGGCAGTAAGTGTTTCACCGCATTTTTTTGCTTGTGGCTGGAATAAAAACAGTAGCAATGATCAGCAGATGAGTACTGACTTATCGAACAAAGTAACTCACTCTTTCGTTGCATTGCGCACCACCGTATCCACGTGGACAAATGCATTTTGAGCAGTCTCGCGGATTTGGGTAACCACCCATCTGGCATTTTGCAGCGGAGCGTTTAGACTTGCACTTATCTAAAGTTCAACAGAAGATCTTTAAATAGCAAAGGCTACAGAATTTTCGACCAACAAGTTGTTCTCTTAATTTCACGGTATAGCGCATTAAAAATATTGGCGAGTTTACGATAATATAATCAAATGTATGGTTTGTTTGCATACCCACTGGAAAAAAGCGATGCATAAACTGAAACAGCTTCAAACGAAGGCGAGTACCCGCCAGGCTTATAGAACACGGTCCTCACACAGGGATGTATATCCATGCCGATATATATACTTACTGTCAGCTCTTCATAATATTACTGACACCTTTCGAACAAAACACTTGTAGAAGAGGAGTCACAATTACTGCTAATAACGTAAACTCAATTCGCTGAGTAAAAGGCTTTGACATGGTACTAATGTGGACTCTGCTGATACAATTACTATGATTATGGGGGACCAAGTAGCGCCAAAAGACTCTCAAGAAATTCAACTATATGGTATGCCATGGCAAACGATGGCAGCGCTACTTGCAGATCACGCTCAATCAGCCTTGCACAACTGTTCAAACATTAACCGTCTCTATCTACCTTGTTGATAAGGACAGGAAGTGCTTACCAAGACAACCATAGTGTTTGTTCATCAGAAGTATGTCATAAAAACCTAAGAACGGTGAGCCCATCGTTTCACGATAGTGTTCATATTCCTTGTGTGGTACTATCGTTGGCATCGATTCGTCTTTAGCAAAACTGAAAAAAAGTAGTACAAAATGATATCAAACATACGAATTTCCAGAAACTTACGCATTTCCATCATAGTGCATCCTGCTACCAAAGTCGTAAGGTATACCATAGTTGTTAGCAGTTTCTTCTTTGTCAAAATTGTGTTCCTTGCCATCCTCAAGTTATTCCCTTTCAACGATGGCCTCAGGGTACTCAGTGTGGCCTGCACTCACCTCGATGTTTTCGAAATTGATATCTACGTAACGATCACGGTCGGATCTTGCCTGAGTATGATGCAACCCGAGAGCATGACCAAACTCGTGCGCAGCCGTCCAGTACTATAAGGCACAAGGCTTTGCTTTGGACAAAATCCAAGTTTTTTCCGGAAAGAAAGAAACAAAAAGGTATGGGAGCTTTCACGTTGTTTGCAAAATTCTGGTCTACAACCCTTTCTCTTTCTATCCCCACATATGCTTCCATCTCTATAATTCGTTTTGGTCAGCTAATCTACTTATGGTGTTTTACGAAATACCAAAAACACACATGTTCACATCCTTTTCCGAGTGAAAGTGTTTGTACTAGTACTCTGCGTTGATACCACTGCTT